AACTTATAACTCCGAGCGTATCGCGCTTGGATTTGGTCGTTGTGAATGTGGCCTCACCGATAAGTTGCAGCAGCGTGCTGACGGACCTAATCGCGGAGGCCACAATACGAACAAACAGAGACGCTCAGCATTCTTGGCTAGCATATTGACAACCGTATAAATAACAAATAGGGGAGCTTTTTTATTCCCCAGGCCAAAAACGTCTAGATCCAATACTTGGTCAGAAACACACATGCACTGCCCAGGCTATAATGTCAATATTTGTACTCGCGTGCCATAGCGCAGCATGGCGTGGTTTTGTTCACTCTTTAGCACGTCATTGACCAGAAGCCATGACGCAGCTTTTCTTTGCCACTTTAGCATCGCGTTCCAGGGAGTCCAAGAAAAATAGGTCATTGCGCCACGCATGCATGAGCTCAAGTGCCTCCCTTTAGTGCGCCTTTTGAACGAAGGCTCCCAAGGTGTGGCTGTAATACCTCCAAGGGTGTTGTAAGTACGTGAGACCCCCCCCCCCCCCCTTCGGCGAAAGTGCTGCTTGAAATTGCGGCTTTGAAGTAGTAAAGTTTTCTTGTCAAAACATCGGAGCGACAGCCCATTTTCATAATTTATTGCTTTTTTTTTCTTGTTGAAGCTTCCGTGTGCCCCTGAGCGCAATAACACCCCGCACTGGCCGCAAGAAAAAGCTAGCCTTGCCCAATGCAGGAAGAGCTGGTTTGAATTCACAGCCACCCTTCCCCCGCTTTTTTTTATTTTTCTAAACGGGTTAGAGGTCCCCTGACCTAGTGCTTTCTTGTGTACTGGCGCCGAAAGGTGGCCTCTCCTTTCCACTGTCTTCTGTCCCGTCCTCATCTTGCTGCTCTCCACAAAACTGTGGGTCCTGCTTCCTTACCTGCTTTAGCATTTACCTTTCGAAAACGGCGTTCTCCGCAGCAGTAGAAAACTATTAGTATAATATTAAAAGGCAGTCGTCATGTCGGTCAGGGTGCGTGTGCCGGGGTTCCTCTGGCGCGGGCACCGTGTAAGCCTCCCTCCAATTTGGCGTTCTCAGAACGCGCGTTGTCTAGCCCGGTCCAAATGACCAGCGCTCTCAAGCACAACGGCATAAGCGGCTTTTGTGGAAAACCTGTAGTAGCCTACTGTCGTCCCCTGAAAGAGTGTCTCAGAGAACCGCAGTCGCCTTGATGGCGCCGCCTGCCTTCTCGGTGGCACACACGTCGGCAACTTCCAAGAGCCCACTTGCTCGACTGAGACTTCCAGAACCATCGCTTTTAGTTATGCTGCACGGAATTACACATAGTGGCACCCATGTTTTTCTTTCGTTGTCGACAGGGCGTTATGGTGGCGCAGGAGGAGTGTTCACTGCAGTAGAGGTTTGAGGCCTGAGGCCGCAACCAGAGAGGGACTGGAACTCGTGTTCTTTTAATGCGTAGCTTTATTGAAAAGGCAGTCGTAGTGAATGTAAGCATGTGTGCTTGGTGGTCGCGAAAGAAGAACGAATGCAGGTGCACAGCAGATATCCACAGTATAGAACTATAGGACATCAAAATTATATAACGTATTATTAACATGTAAGAACTCAATAAAAAGGTGTTTGTAGTTATATCGTAACCAGGAATGATGAAAAAAAAGTCAAGCAAAAGTTTTTCATTAAACACATATGACGCTGAATAGCAGCAATGGATATTCTTGCAACGTGGTGTATAGGCGCAATACATGACAGTTTCGCCACCACCATGCCTCCTCTGTCGGCGAAGCATGTAGGATGTGGGCCGTAAATAATTCCTACTTCACCGCGTAGCAACTACACATAAGAGTGAAGCACCGTTAGCGTGACGTGAAACTGAATGAATTCCGCTCGGCTCCCACCCCTCGTGCATACAACGCTCAAGTGTTGCACGCAAGGAAACCTATACAGTCACATCAGAAACCACACGTCATCGCGAGCATTCCTCGGTATACGTAATACGGCCACAGGAGTCGTAGGAGTTGACTCATAGTTCATCTCGGCATCATGTAGCCTGTTTGCAGTGGTGTCGTCTTGTGCCACGTGCAACCACGCCGCCGTGTATATTAGATACAATGCGGCGTGGTTGGTCGCGGGGCTGGTCCGCTTTGTGCGGTCGCCAGGCTGTGCCGAAAGCGCGTTGACGACCCACCTGTTGCCCAAGCGCACGATGCTGGACGCCATGAATATTCATGTCGTACGCAATGTCATCAACTGCTCTTAGACGCCGAACTGAGGGTTGGCACGGTGGGGCATATAGTATGCACCGGACTGGGGCGGATTCTGCACGACTCGCACACTGGCGTCCGCACAGTGCATGAAAGATTTATCGCGACCATGTCCTGAAGCCACGCGTTTCCATATTCCAGTTCCTGTAATGTGTGTGCTGTTCCTTGTTAAGGTCGCCTTCTACAAGCAAATACTTTGATATTTTCACCTTTACTCGACAAAGAAAAAAAAACCTGTCACGCGATGATCTAGGAAGCTTAGGTATTGTGTGACAACCACATGATGACGCACAAAAAGCACTTACGACCTTCTAGTATCAATGACCTGTTTAGAGTAACCTCCACTCGAAAACGCACTAATGCGAGCTGATGTTATAGTTTAATATGCTTACGCTCTATGTACATCCAACAATCCCTTCCCCACCTATCACCAACCTGCGGCCGATAGCCGTCCTTTTCTACGCAATAAAGGTTCAATTTATTCATTCAGTCATCGTTACCTTGGTTGTTGATAAGAACATGCACAGTGTGGAGCGGCATGTATTGGAAGGAAAGTTTATTTGCCCGTTTTCCTAGTTGTTCTTTTTTTCTTTGTTAAACCACATGCTGTCAGCGTAGTCAACAGCGGTGGCAAAGAGAGAGTGGCAGCTAGCATCTTAACTGCAGAAATAGACACGACAGAAGAAACAGCGATAGCGATAGCAGTCACAACCTGTACTGACACAGCAGTAATACTAACTGATTCGCAAGCAGACTGTCGAAATTATCAGAAAGGAAGAATTTCCAAGCAAGCGTTAGGAATTCTCACCACTGCAGCGAAGACAAATATACTAGACACGTTCATCATTTGGACTCCAGGTCACGAGTCCCTGATGGGAAATGAGGCAGCCAATGCTTTAGCCCTGAGCTCATGTTCACTGGGCCATGCCACAAGATGCGCTAAGAAGGAAGAAGATGCACCTAAAAAGTACAACAATATACTACAGCACTACAGGCTGAACAGAAGAAGTCATCCATCAGCTGACCCCATCCCTACTCGGGAAGAGGCAGTAACCCTCAGGAAGCTGCAAACTAACACCTACGTTCACTGGTACGCTGCTTCACCGCATCTCACCAATCGAGTACTCGTACTAACTCCAAGCACTGTGATGTCCCCAAAACCCTGTTACATATAATATGGGGATGCAGACAAAGCCCTGTAGCCACTACACTAGCCGAAGAGCAGTGGGAGGCTCAGTTATCAGACCCGGGCCTGAAGAATCGGCGCAGCATGATTCGAAGGGCGCGTGAGATGGCGAAGGCCCGCGGCTACCTGGAATAAGGAGGTCGCACACCTTGGGCGCACAATTCCTTTGCTCAAGTAAATGTTTACTCTCTCTCTCTTTGTTAAAGAAACAATGCAGCTGAATTGGGAGAGTATAAGGATGTGCTAAAATCTCGAGGGAATAAAGACTGTTAGTAATGATGTGATAGCAATTCACCACCAAACAGTATGCTGTGGTGACATGATCATCACCCCGACGAAACGCAGCTGAGAATAAATACCGGAAAGTACAAAAAAATGGTTGTCTTGTTTGAGTTACAAGTTACAAAAAAAAGATGACGCAACAACGCCACTTTTGTTTCGCACACTGTTCTTCTTTATCAAGGGGGATGGAAGGTCGCCATTAGAGTGACCCTTGAATGCATCGGAAGTGAAGTCACCTCGATGTAGCACATGTTCCGGAATGACGACTATGCCGCTGAGCGCTTCCTTTTAAACAGTGTCGTTTGTTGTGCTTGTATAATGTCAACACCTTTTACACCAACAGAAAGACGTGGAAAGGTGGCTTCGAACTTATAAAGAACATCTCACAGGCGACTGCAAATTTTCCCGTCCTTGACGTGGAAGAACGGCTCTAAGACTGAAGACTTTTTCATTTTTTTATTTTTTTAGTATTTTTTTCACGAACTAAACACGTGGCGCCATGGCGCCACGGAGTCGTGAGAAAACGCGTCGTCTGCGGCTACTACGGCTCTTGCTTTGAGGTCAACAACAAAAGGAACCGGTGGCCACGTAGACTTGAAAAACACCGACACTACTCTGAAGCAACCTTGCAGATAAGGAAAGGGCCGCAGTTTTAACCAGAACGTCCTCACCGAGCCACGACTGCCTCTCCTAACAACCCCACGTTAAATCTAGCAGCTTTTGACTCCCCCATCTTGTGTGTGTTCCCACAACAAACCGGTCAACCACCAGCGCCTCTTTCCTGCCTCCTCCACCCCCCGTCCGCTTAGAGTAAAAGCCGCTACGGTCATTCATGTTTTGCAGTGGCTACTCTATTGGCCGCTGGGCAGCACTCACGTGACATCCCCTTCTCGACTTGAAAAAGGGGGTGCTCGTCGCCCACTCGACACGGTTGAGTGAACACGTTTGCACGCACGCTGGCGGCGGTGGTCGGAAAATATTCCGTCCCGAAAGAAAGGGTTGGCTTGCGCTGACACTTCGGTTACCGGTGCCGATTCGATGTCGGGCGGTTTCTCGATGGCATATCGCGGCGCAGCCTGGCAGACGACGCAAAATGCCGCGCACGGATACGCCGACGCTTCGGCTCCTACGCACCAGGATGGATATTTCTACGACCCACAGGTGCGCGCGTTTACGAATTGCAGCGCGAACCCGAACGACTTCGTGAATGACGCTCAAACGAACTTCGTTCAGGCAGCTTCGACCACTTACGGTCACCCGTCTGCCGCCGCGGTAGCGCCATCAACGCCTGTTGTTCGGAATGAACAGCAGCAGGCGTTTACGCAGCAACAGTCGTCCAAACAGTTCTGTGCGCGCTCCTGTCAAGTTCGAGACGCTGTTCCAAGAGCCCGTGCCGGTGCTGGGCTGGACTCTGGCGAGCGAGCAGAAGCTGCAAACGTACGTCCAGAGCCACCTCAGCAGTGGCGGTGAGTGCCAGGTTGTCGGATACGCCGGGAGCAACGACGACAGTGCACCGTACTCGCTGAACTGCAACGTCGGGACACCTCCCACAGCTTCGGCGAACCCCCACGGGTCGACGACACCAGTGTTTCCGTGGATGCTGCAGCGTCGGTCCGAGTCCGCTGAAGAGTGCTCCCGTCACCCTGCAGGTAAGAACCATTTCTGAAGTATACAAACTGCGACCTCCCACTGCCGCTTGTTTGCCTGGCTCCTTACGCGGGCTCGGTACATAAATTTCGTCAGCGCCGCCTCCTCTTGTCGTCTTTCTCCTTTACAACCGTGCAAACAGGATACACGCGCTCTTCGGCGTACTGCCCCATCTTAAGTCCTCCCCTCACCCGTGCGCGCACACAACGGGGGTGCTGATAAATATACGAGGCCACTTAACGGTGCTCCCGACATCCATTAGCGAGGCGCTAGGAACGGCGATGAAGAGACCGAAACCCGATCTTGGCCCCCATTTGTAAGTGTGTGAACGTTAGTGAACGGTGGTTGAAAGGTCGCCTCCGGGGCCTGCGCCTGCCCTATCGACCGTTTCTGTTAGCCGACCTTACCACTCGTCTTTTTTTGACGTTTACGAGGCAGTACAGGCAGCTGTTTACCACGTGGCTCTACCGCTAGCTGGAGTGCACGCGGAGCACTTGTTGTGCTTCGTTGCCATGCATTGACTGCTGAGTCTTGCAATGTTGTGAGTTAAATAAATTGATCTTTCAGAATCTCAAACTGACCTGTAGTTTTTTTTTTTCACTTTGTTGTTAAGTAGCGATAATAATTGAAACACCGCCGGTGAATATGATGTTGTAACGCTCGTTTTCGGTAGTTATGTTCTTCCTAACGCTTTTCCAGTGCCTCCCTTACCCGTCCCTTGCAAACTAATGACGGTGTATTAGCAGGATTAAAAAGCGAGGTGTTTGCATATTGTCCGCTGAAAGGTGCGTGGCTAATGTACCAACGTTCGTGGCTTTGTCAATCATCTATACGTTAGGAATACCATGGCCGGAGACGCCGACTACGCGTAAGAGAAGGCCGGGAGAGAAGGCAGTGGTCGCTACTTTCGTAAAAGTGAAAAAGCTGAGGACTTTACCTAAAAAAAAATCTCCCTCTCTGCGATAGGGCCATGGTTGTAGCTTTTGTTCACTTGGCTTGAGCGCAAGCGGACTGTAGCCTTGGCAAATTACGGAAATACGGTTTCCTGTGATGGTACCAATTCTCCTTCCTCTGTGGTTGTGCCAAGAGGCACCCCAACCCCACACAAGCTTCTTCGAAAATTACTGCGGGGTTGTCAGGCCTCGTTGTTGCCTGTCAGGCTACGCATTGTTAGCGAGAACCCTATCGTTCGGACGGTTAGCTTGGAGCTGGGAGCGGCTAAAGCACAAAGAGCGGAAAACGAGGAGCGCTAGCGTACTTCTGCTGCGGGAAGATTTGTCTGTTGCCTTCTGTGTTTTCCCATGGCGGTTTGTTTTTACGGTTATGATTACTGGAATGGTTGCCTTTCTTGATTTCTCTCTGTAATTTCTGTAGAGTTCAGTATGTAGCCTTGTTCCTTGTACATATTTTGCATTGACGTCATCATGGCCACTATCTGAGGACCCCAGCTAGTTGGGATGCCGCGTGAACTCACTCAAACGCATGGTGCAAGAAACGGTGACATTAGACTAGTGCCGGTACCCCAGAGTTTCTCTTTGGCGCGGCTTACGAACATAGGAAAGTGGTGGTGGTAGTGGTTAGAAGATGAGAAAAGGCACCTAATTTCTGCAACCCGGTCGGGAGCACGGCGCAGTGCCTGGGAAAGTAGGGAGAGCTCAAAAGAACGCTGGGATTGAACGACTGTGTCCTTCTCTCCAATTCCACTCTACAATGAGTTGCGGTTGCCGGCATCTTATAGCACCACCAGCGCAGGGAACCTGCTTGTGACGTCGCAAGAAAACTACGTATGCATGACGTCTCCGGTTGATGAAATTCTATGCAACGCACAAGTGGTTAGTATGGTGCGCAACCTGGTTATATATATCCAATAATTTTCACTATCTTTGCCGCACAGAAATCACATAGGTTGGGTGCATAGTAGGACATCTCAGGAATTTCATGTCGCGAGATCGATGTATGCCAGCGAAGGGAATATTGGCGATCTACAGTGTGCACAGAATTTGTGCTTGCTTTGCTCCCTACCGCCTCATTTTTTTTTAAATGCGAAGCATTTCATAGCGAACTTCGGGGACTTCGACCATTATCTATCTATCTATCTATCTATCTATCTATCTATCTATCTATCTATCTATCTATCTATCTATCTATCTATCTATCTATCTATCTATCTATCTATCTATCTATCTATCTATCTATCTATCTATCTATCTGTCTGTCTGTCTATCTGTCTGTCTATCTGTCTGTCTGTCTGTCTGTCTGTCTGTCTGTCTGTCTGTCCCTGCGCCTACGACTTTTAGCTCTCCTGACCGTTTCGATAATGGTATCGATACCAAACTTAGTATGATAGAACATGACGGTATGATGAACATAACTGACTAGTCATAACATGAAATTCATGATATGTATGTCATAAGTGTCATGATTTACATGTTATGATCTTGCTGCTCTTGCGGTGGTTTTATTTACATGATATGATGCAAAACTGGCACGGTATGACATCACTGCATGGCGAACACAAGCGACAGACCCTAACATCAGAATTATGGCATGCGTGTCATGTGAGAACATGACTACATGTCACGCTCATGATGCGCTCGCGGTCGTCTCGCTAGCCTCACACATACCATATTTCGTATTACGTCACGTGAATGGATGATGAAGGTATATTACTAATGCAAACATTATAATCGTGATATGCGTGGCATGTAAGAACATGACTACATGCTACGCTCATAGTGCGCTCGCGGCCATTTAGGTAGCTTCACATATACCAAATTCGATGCTACGTGACGTGAATGGATGACGAAGGTATATCACTAGTGCAAGCATAAAGTCATGGCATGTGTGTCATGTCAAACATGACTACATGCTACGTCCATACTATGCTCGCGGCCATTCACTAGCTTCATATGTACCAAATTTGGTATTGCGTGACGAGAATGGACGACGAGCACAAATACCAGGCGCAAACATGATACTCATGACAAAGAAGTCATGTAGGCACCATTTACTTCCGCCTAGTAACGTTGTGCTGATTTTAATGTGACACTTCAACCTTCTTCATTTGTGCTTGGCAAGTTGTATCTACCAATTTTTTGTTCGTTTTTTGTTTTCCAAAATGGAGGCTCTGCGCGGCGAAGGCGCTGTAGTACTGAGAAAACGTGACCGCTGCGGTCCAGTCTGCGACTTGCCGAGATTGTTTTGGAGGTATAAGAAAAGTTAAAGCCTGTTGACTGGATCTTTAAAGAACAGCAAAAAGGGTCAGTAAAGCTTGCCTGATGCCCCCTCTCTCCTTGAAAAAGTACTAAACTACGTGGGCTGTTGTAGTTTTTAGTCAAATATGGTGTGATAGCCTTCAAATCAAGCTCGAATAATTGTGGAAACTTGTGATACGGTAATTGGGCAGTGAAAGCGAGGAAATTCATTTATACCACTTTTCGCGCCATAAGGTACAGCTTGAAATGAAGTGACTTGCAAAAAAGAATCTTGGCTTTTCTTAGCGATTGCTATTACAGATTTTATGAGAGAGTATCAGCCAGGTGTTTTTATTGGTGTGGCTTATAAGTTTTCACACCTACGCAGGCGTAAATTTCGTTTGATGTTAAGTACTCGTGGCATGGTCTGTTTACCGGCAATCTTGCTCCTATGTTAGAAAAACCGCTGGAAGACAAAAAACTCCGCCAACAGCGAACACTATAAGGAAAAGTGGAAATAGCAAATTTTAGGATATAATGTTGAAACTGTTATTATACGTCTTTATTGCTTTGAAAACTGAAGCAAGAACTCAGTGGCAAATTCACTTGTGCATTCTTGCCTAATACAACTTGAGAGTGAAATCAATTTTTTTCTTCCACGTTGGTTACACTATCCGCTTTTGCCATCCGTTGGATTCGATGGAGGCGAAAACACTCTAGGGCCGTGTGCTCAGATTTGGGTGCACGTTGAAGAACACCAGGTGGTCGAAATTTTCGGAACCCTCCACTATGGCGTCTCTCATAATCATATGGTGGTTTTGGGATGCTTAACTCCACATATCAATCAATCAGCCAATCACCCCTTGCAGCTTCTCTACACCACGTGGTGATGCCCCTCTTCCGGTATCATTGATTTTCCCTCTAGACCAAGTGACATGGTGTGATGTCATCTCATCATACTGTGGCCCCGTAACTTTCGGTACGCTGATGGCCCATATACGTTGACTTGAGTACCACGTCGTGGCTTCTGAGTACTTTGATCAGCCTATAAGTTTTTAACATTCGTGACGTCTAGCGAAACCTCGAAACGAAATGTATCTTCCTTCGCGGGACAGCGTAAGAGATGTAACCACGATGAATCTTCTATTTGCGACGCCTTACAATGTTGAATTGAAGCGTGTAGCTGCTTTGACGGGACCTGCATATATTTATACTATATGTGTACTATTGATGGCAGAATCGAAGCAGTGCGATGACGCCGCACTAAGATAATCGGTAAACAGGGGATGTGCGCCCTAGCCGACGCTTCGACAACGAAACTTTTCTTCGTCAAGGGCGGCACAGTTATAGCCTTGCAAAAGACAAGTCACCTTGTCGAAAAATCTACTCAGATGCACTTCACTTCTTCGCATTTTTCGTTTCATTGCAGGCTTCCATATTTTCCCTGCTGTCCTTGTTTTGAAACACAGAATAGTAATAAAAAATGTGCAGATGTACCCCCTAAAAATAAATATAGATCTGTCTTTGGTGATATGAAAGTCCTTGCGTGGTTGCACGTCAAAATGAAAATATGGGCGTCTGGGTGTACACTGAATATACAGTCTGCGAGAACTTAGTCAATAATTGCAAGTTATGCGAACACGGATACTATATATAATAATTTTGGGAGCCATAAAAATAACAAATTGTTTCATTTTATCACAAAACCATTTGTTTCATCACATTGTAAGTTGCACCCGGAATACTTTTGTCAGCCAGAAAACAAATGAATAAGTATAATGCCTGAAAGTCAAGAGTGTCTGAAAAAA